CTTCAACTCCCAGAATTCTCCAGCCAGCAGAGCTCTGCTGGCTGGAGAATTCTGGGAGTTGAAGTCCACAAGTCTTAAAGTTGCCAAGTTTGGGAACCACTGTCCTAAGGTGAAGTGTTGACTCTGGTGCTTAAAATGTGACTAACCTTCTCCCGCTGGATTGGCCCAAGGTAGAGCAGTGAGAAGGGAAAGGCAGACGTGGTTTTGTTGAGGGATTTGACATGGGAGAACCGTTTCACCTGTTCGGTACCTGCATGCCAGCCACATGGCTTGGGGGGGGGGGGGCAGGAGAAGGATGCCAGCGGCCATTCTCCACAGCGCCACCTTCACCTGCCTCAGGTCTTCTCTGTACCAGGGAGAGGGCTGTGGTTTTCAGGAGTCGTCATCGTCCTTGATAAGCAGAGACTCGCGGAGAGGAAACCAGGCTCCGAAGATCTCCAACCGGAGATTGTTAAACTAATCGTAGTTTATTCAGCGGGAAGGAAACGTCATTAAAGAGGTTGATCCTCTTCCAATGTGTGTGTGTATAGCTTTTTAAAATAAAGTGCTTAGTTTTCATTTTAAGTTACCTTCAATTGGTTCTTCAGTAACAGTCCTGTAGTCAGGGAGACAAAGAGCGAGCGCCCGGGTCCTTTGGGTTGAAGGGGAGGATTTGAGGGGAGACGGAGCCGAGGGCCAACGTTTCCCCGTTGACGTTTTGTTCTGTCTTTGGCAGGCAAATGGGAATGCCCCTGGCACCACTGCGACGTCTGTGGCAAGCCCTCAGTTTCCTTCTGCCACTTCTGTCCCAATTCCTTCTGCAAGGACCACCAGGAGGAGGCGGAACTGGAGTGCAACTGGAGCGGACAGTTGTTTTGCCCCGACCACAGCGGGGAGAATTTTGCGGAGAAGAAAGCCAGGCGGCCTCCTAGGAAACTTGCTTCCCTCAAATGCAAACGGCAAAGGAACAAGTGGAAGAAGCGGACATAATGTTGAGAGGAAACAACTCTCCCCACCAGTCCCGCTTGCCCAAGGTTGTCTTGTAAATAAGTTGTGAATAGGGTCAGGGAAGGACACATTTTCACACGTCTTGCGCAAGAACCGGGGCTGGGAAGGGGGGAGGGGAGCGATTTTTAAACCCACTGAGCCAACCGGCGGGCAGGGCGCCTGCCGCAGCTGCACTGATCATGACCTCTGGCCTGCCAGGTTCAGACGTTTCAGGACAAACCAGGTTTTTCTCTCCAGAAATAATGAGAATACTTGAACTGTTAGGAATGAAAACAGTTCTTCTCCCCCGCCTCCTCAACGGGGGGTGTGTTGATATCCGACCGGCGACGGTGTCTGTGGACAGGTCTCCTCGTAGCTTTTGGAATAGTAGCCGCCGTCCCCGCTCGGAAGCCTTTGGGTAGCGGGCAAGAGGCGGACCTCGACTAGCTTTGGAAGCCCAGTGTGGGGAGGAGACCCGCTTGACGGGATCGCATTAAATAAGAAGGGGGGAGGGCGGGGGAAAGTGTCGTACCATGGCTTTTGATTTTGTTGTTTTAATTGTGATAACCTTCTATCAAGACAAGGGAGCAGCGGACCTCTTGAACCCGGGGCAAGCTCCGGAAGGAGGCTCCGGCCCATCTGTGCCTCAGGTCAACTCTTAGTTCCAAGAAGAAGAAAAAAGAAAACGAAACTTGGATTACCAGTGTCCTCTTTTAAATGGATATTAAAAATCTGTGCCCAATTTTTTAGATCGTATTTGCATAATAAAAGTATTTCCAAATCAAAGCCATTTGAGGTTTCCTTTGAGAAGCAGGCAGGAATAAAGCCACACTGGAAGCCAAACGAACTCTTCCGGAACAGTCTTCCCTTTTCCCCCATCCATCTTCGGGCTAAAAGCGAGATGTGAAACCCGACACAGACGGGCATTTTGAAGGACCGGGAAGGAGGTGAAATAGGATAACCGATCCTGTCCTCCCAAGCGGCTTCTGGTTGCTTCTCCTTTCGGAAGGCCTTGTGGGGGTTCCTTTCTCTCCAGGGGCCCCGACAGGATCCAGGCCCTTCCTTCCTTCCACCTGCTCCCCGTCCTCTCCCCCCCAGCTGAATCTCCATTGTTGGTGGAGACAGCAGTCATGAAATGGTTAACTCCCTTCTCATCCAGTGGGATCTGAAGATTTGCAAATCCCGACTTCTTCACTGGCCTCACCAGCTTTTTTAGACTCCCTGTTTCAAGGGATAACCTGCTACTCTAGTTCTCCAGCTATAAGAAATTACTCCCCCCCCCAAAAAAAAGATCCTTTCTTCACTGATTTCTCCCCTGACTTCTTTTAATCTAAAGCAGCCAAGGCCAGGGGAGCCTTGCAGACGTGAGGGCTTTGCTGTGGGGTGCTTTCTGCTCCCCCTCCTCCATTTCAAACCTTTTGGCGGGGGGGGGGTGAGCTCTGGAGGCGTCGGGAAGTCCCAGGGGAGCTGAGACCGTCGTGGGGAGGTGTGTGGCTCAGGCTTCGCCCCAGGTGGCTGCTAGAGCTGCCGGTGGAATTTCTCTTCAGGCAGCCGCCATTTTGAATGATCTAAAAGTTGCGGCCGCCATTTTGTTTTGGCGCGAAAAGCACCTGACCTCAGAAGAAGACCGGCGGGCCTCTCCTTCATTGAACACCAGTGGTTGCCCTGCAGATGTGGGCAGCCCTGGGAAGCCCCCCTGCACCTTTGCAGGCCCATTCCCTGAGGCTAGTGGGCAACTCGAGTTAGATCACACCGCAGCAAAGCTGCAGCCTCCTGCCACTGCTGCTGGGACCAGGGTGAGCCAGCAAGGCTGGCTGCACGAGGCCGGAGAACCCAGCACCAGGCCTGCAGGCCACATAAATATGGAGGATTCCCCAGGGGAGGTGATTTCCTATTCTTCCCCTCTGGAAGAGGCTGTTGCAGGGCCTTCAGGGGTACCGTCCCCCATCAGAAAGAGGGCTGCCCCTCCTCCCAAAGCTGGGCCTTCTCAAAAAGCCTCTAAGGCATCACAACTGGCAGAAGAGCCCTGGATCGTGAATTTGCCAGAGCTCAGGCTGAGAAATAGCCTCCCAAATTACTGTGCAGGCCCAAGTCCATTCTCTGCCCTCTGAAGAGGTTTCTGTCTCTCCTGATCCTCTTCTGCCCCAGGAGTTGTCCACTGATAGCGGGGAGGAAGGTGAGATCATTCCCGACTCCCCCAGGGGCAGTTTGTGCCAGGCTGTGACTGATACTCCCACCGTTGGGATCCATCCGGGGTCTCAACCTGACATGGCCGCCATAATTTCTAAGGCCATCCGCCAGGGCATAGCGGCTAGTATAGCAATAGCCATAGCAGTTAGACTTATATACCGCTTCATAGGGCTTTCAGCCCTCTCTAAGCGGTTTACAGAGTCAGCATATCGCCCCCAACAACAATCTGGGTCCTCATTTCACCCACCTCGGAAGCCGGTGAGATTTGAACAGCTGAACTGCAGAACTGCAGTCAGCTGAAGTAGCCTGCAGTGCTGCATTTAACCACTGCGCCACCTCGGCTCTGTATGATGCAGAGGGATTCCTCTAGGGCCTCTGGCCACAGCAAATCTTTGGGGGATAAGAAGAAAACTTCTGCAAGGACTCAATCTGAACCTAGACGCCCATCCAGATCACCTAGTCAGTCATCTTCTGAGGAGGATGAGAACAGGGTTCAGAGATGTCTGCTGATTAGGGCCTTGAGCCCGATCAGCCTGCATTTGTGGGCCTCTTTAAGCCCTCGCCCTTTAAGTCACTCCTGTACAAGGCACGTAGGGTGACTGCTCGGGATGAGTCACTGGAGCCCCTTGTTCCAGCTCCGATGCCAGGAGACAACACTGATCCCTTGTTCTTAGAGCCCCCTTAAGGAAGTGGTACCGGCACCTATGCTCTTTCTGGACGTGGTTCAGCATCAGTGGGCTTCCCCGGGATCAGGCCCCTTTCCCAACTCTAATGATAAACGGTTTTAATTGAACACGGCACTGGAGGTCCCCACGGTGGATGCACCGATTGCGGCTATTTTGGCTCCATCAGCAGTCACTAGTAGTCCAGTGGATTCCCTCCGCCCCGAGGATAAGTGGGTGGAGCAGGCACTGGTTAAAGGTCACCAGTCGGCTGCTTGGGCCATCGAAGCCTCTACTGCTTCTTCCTTTTTTGGTAGAACGGCCCTCAAATGGCTCAAAAGATTACAGGATAGGATTCCTGCCAGTGATGTTAGGGCACACCAGGATTTTAACAAAATAAAGGTGGATATGGAATTTGTGGCGGACGCCTCACTTAACACCTCCCGTTTCACGTCCAAGTCCATGGCCACCTCCATTGCCACTAGAAGACTCCTATGGTTGAGGCCATGGCAGGCCGATGCCAAACATAAGTGGAGTCTCGCATCAGCCCCCTACTCAGGTCAGCAGCTCTTTGGTCCACCCCTGGAGCCAATGTTAGTGGAATCCAAAGACAAAAAGATTTTTCCTTCCCAGTTTAAGAAATTGGACAAAAAATTCTCTTCCTCTTACAGGAGGTCGCCCTTTCATGGCAGAGGGGGAGGCTTTTCCTCCCCTCGCTCCCAGCACCAGTTTAGTCCTTTCCAGGGACACCAGTATCAACAGGAAAAGTCCAATAAGGGAGGCCAGCACTGTCAGGCCAGGAGATCCTTCCGAGGTGGGGCCAGGCGCCCCTTTCAGCGCCAGAAATGACTGCCTCGAGACGATACCCATCGGGGCCGATTGGCCTTTTTTGCCCACCAATGAGAGGCAATAGCATCCGACGCTTGGTCAGGGAGACTGTCCAACAAACTTTCCCTCGAGTTTCGCTTCTACCCCCCAAGGTTTTTCAGAACTTGCCCAGTGTCCCAGGATGCGGACCGAAGGCTTCTGGTGGAACAGGCAATTCAGCACCTCCTGGACATCCAAGCGATCCAGGCAGTTCCACCGGATCAGAAAGGGCTGGGGTTTTATTCCCTCCTGTTCATCGTTCCAAAGACCTGGGGGGGATGGAGGGCAATACTCAACCTAAAGCGGTTGAATCGCCATATAGTATATTGGCACTTCAAAATGCAGTCATTGCAAACCATCCTGGAGAGTGTCTGAAGGGATGACTTCCTCACCTCAGTGGATCTGTCCATATACCCATTTCGAAAGCTCCCAGGCAGTTTCTCAGGTTTTGTTACCGAGTTCGACATTATCAATACAAGGTCCTTCAATTCGGCCTCTCTTCAGCACCCAGGGTGTTCACAAAGGTGCTGGTGGCCTTGGCCACCCACATAATGGCCAGTCCCATCAGGATTGTCTGCTATTTGGACGACATCCTGCTTCTGTCCAGGTCTCCTTATCAGGCAAGCTAGGACCTTCAATGGACCCTCCAGCTGTTAAGAGACCATGGGTTTTCCATCAAACTGGACAAAAGTCACCTCTCTCCCACCACCAGAATTCTCCACCTGGGGGCAGTCATAGATACCAGGAAGGGAAAGTTCTATCTTTCGCAGGAACGCCAGACCAATCTGAGATCGATGGCGTTGGATGTCGCAACAAGACAGCAGGTGCAGCTGGTTGTGTTGTCCCAACTGTTGGGGAAGATGGTGTCCTGTTTCCACATCGTGCCATGGGAGAGATTACACAGCAGGCCACTCCAATGGTTCCTCCTTCCCCATCAGAGGGCAGACAGCCAGCTAGACTGTACGGGTGGTCCTGACACTGGCGGTATGCGGTTCCCTAAGGTGGTGGATGTCATCAGCGATTTCCATGGGGACCTTGTTCCGATACCTGACCCGGATTTTGGTGACCATGGATGCCAGCCTTTCGAGCTGGGGAGAGCACCTTTGCTCGGACATTGCCCAGGGCCTCTGGTCCCCGTTGGACAGCCAACGCAACAACAATTGGCTGGAACTGAAGGCCATCCGCCTGGTGCTCCTGCACTTCAGTCATCACCTGGAAGGACATCACGTCCTCATCTATACCAACAACATGACCACGAAGGCACACATCAATCACCTGGGCAGTACACGCGTCAGGTCCCTGATGCCGGAGGCGTCGCGACTCGGAACGTGGGCGGAGTGCCACCTGTTGTCGATGAGAGCCGAGCACATCTCTGGCACAGCCAACGTCAGAGCAGATCTACTCAGTCACTATCAGGCGGACCAGACGGAGTGGCAACTCCACCCGAGACTGTTTCATTACCTGAGCAGTCAGTACAGATCGCCCTCCATCAACCTCTTCGTGACGAAGGAGAACAGACAGGTGAAGCAGTTCATGTCACAGTACCCAGTCGGGGTAGAAGGCAGGGACGCACTCAGGTGTTGGTGACCCGGCGGCCTTCTCTACGCATTTCCCCACCCCCCATTCCCCTCATTCAGCGGGTGGTGGGGAAGATGCTAGGAGGAGCAGCTCATCCTGCTTGCCCCAGCCTGGCCCCACCATTCCTGGTTTGCGGACCTGAAGGCAGTATCTGTGGCCCCACCTTGGCACCTGCCGCTGTTGCCAGATGTTCTCAGGCAAGGCTCTTTCCTACATCCGGATCTGGGCTGGATCAAGCTGATACCTGGCGATTGGGCGGTGCAGTTTGATTGCGTGACAGTTATCTCAAGTGGTGGCCACAATCCAAGCATCTCGTTGACCGTCCACAACCTGTATTTACAACGCAACCTGGAAGGCGTTTGTCTTATGGTGTTCAGGCAAGGTTGTGGCTGCAACAAAGTGCAATTACATCATGTGCTGAACTTCCTACAGGAGGGCTTGAATAAGGGTCTTTTGCCAAATACCCTACGACACCAAGTGGTGGTGCTTTCGTCTTATCTTGACTTGCGGGGATTGCAACTCCCTCTCACAACATCCCGATTCATTTTTTACAAGGGCTTTGAATATGCGGCCACCTGTAATTCATCGCTACCCTACCTGGGACCTGCCCAAGATCCTCCTGACTTTGACGGGTCCTCCTTTTGAACTGCTTCGTGACACCTGCCTGAGGTATCTATCCTTCAAAGTTTTATTCCTTGTAGCCATTACATCAACAAGGAGAGCTTCTGAGTTGGCAACCTTGTCTGTGCGACTGGTGTATTTCACCAAGACAGGGTAGTTTTGAGGCTGGACCCCTCCTTTGTGCCCAAAATCAACTCTTCATTTCCACAAGGCACAGGAGCTGGTGCTCCCAAACTTTTGTCCGTATCCTACCCACAGACTAGAGACAGTGGCACAAGCTCAACGTGAGGCGGGCTCTTTGAATTTACATCCACCGGACTTCTATTCGACGCACTGAGGCGCTATTCGTATCTTATCAACCGACCTCCTTGGGACTTAAAACATCATCCGCTACTTTGGGTCGGTGGATCAGAGCCTGCATTACCAAGTTGTACGAGTTGTAACTGCAGCTGGTTCCTGATCGTATCTTGGTGCACTAGACGAGGAGTGCAGCAACTTCAGCTGCCGGGGCCACTCAAGCCTCCCTTGAGGAAGTTTGTTGTGCGGCTACCTGGACGTCCCATTTGCCATTCATCCGCCACTACAAAATCGACATTTATGCGTTGGTGGATGCAGCCTTCGGCAGACAGGTTCTGCAACATGTGCAAGAGGCTCAAGAACATTTGGCCCGGTCGCAGGCCCACCCGTAGGGACACTACTAGCTTTGGTATGCCCCATTCATGACTGCTGTCTCCACCACCAATGGAGATTGGGCATCAAGCGGACCTGATAAGCTCAATTTCTGGGAAGGTGGAGACAGCAGTCATCCCCACCCTATGAAGTGGTCCGGTCCGAAGTTGGAGGTGTTTCCTTGATGTTACCATAGCACATCAGTCTGCGGATCGCATTCGTCATAAAAAGCTGGTGAGGCCAGTAAAGAAGGCGGGATATGCAAATTTCAGATTCAGTCCCATTGGATAACGGAGTTAATCCTTTCATGATTGCTGTCTCCACCTTCCCAGAGATTGAGCGTATCAGGTAAACCAACGCCCAATCCCATTCAGTTGTTTTCAAGAGTTGTGCTGATGGGCAGGATGAGGGAATCCCAACTTCCTTTATAGAACCCTTTTTTTCTTCAAAGGAGGCTCTTCCTGCCTTCTTTAGGAGTGTTGCAAAGCTACGAACAGAAGTGATGCATTGTAGAGTACCACGTGTCGTTGAGCAAGACAAACCCTTCAGCGAGGCCTCCTGATAGAAATTGTAGGAGAGTCCATGTTACGCCACAGGAGCTAAAACACCAGCGGCCTTTGGAGATTGCAAATTTTGTTTTAAAACCGCCTGAGCTTTCGTGAACTGCGTCCCGCTTCCTAAAGTGCCCAGAGGGGTCGGATGGATGGAAGACTTTAAATAGAACCGGGGGGGGCAGAAAAGTCGTTCCCTCAATGCTGTACGTAAACGTTACACCCTTGGAATACACCAGCAGTCTCTTGCCAGCTCTGGGCTCTTCCATTCATTCAGCTGGAAGAGGGCCTAGAGAGAAGGAGCCTTTAGTTAGCACATCACTTGAGCTGGTGCTCTTGGCCCGGGTCAAGGATGCTAAAAAACACCACCACCACTGGGGAAAGGAGAAGAAAAATGTACTTAGAAAAATCTGAACTTTATTACCGATATTATGCCGAAAATAACGTATTCAAGGACATGAGGTTTTGCATTTACATCTGTACAAAAAACAAAATAGATAGAAAACATCTGGCCTGCTCTATTAGATAGGCAACATTTTAGAAAACAACATTGCTTGTTAAAAAGGTACCAGAATCCCAAGGTCTCGGGGCTCAATTCCTACCTTGCCTTTTCTCTTCCGTTGGTGGTTTGGGGGGGGGCAGCTATTGGGGGGCAGAATGAGGAAAACCCCAAGGCTGCCAAAGACTTTGGGGGGGCCCTTTTGCTAACTGGTGGGGCAGGAGGGATGCTGCACGCTTGTTTCAACAATAACTCCAGCTTGCCTGATGCTCGCTGGATACTACAAATAATCTTACATCTAGAATTAGACTCTAAAACATCTCCCCCACCCCCACGGGGAAAAAGATCAGAGCCGCGGATAGGACTGGCCATTTGTCTTTTTCTGTCGGAATCAGCACCAAGTTCCTTCTAAGCCAAGCAGGACAACTGAAGGGCCTGGTGGTTCTGAGCAGTTCCATTCCACTTGAGTGGGCGCCTTCGGTGTCTCTCGATCCCAGCCCATCCCGTGTCCCTTTCCAGCCTGCCTTGGCAGGGCTTCTTCCTAGCCACCTCCGGGCAGCCAGACCTTAACCTACAAAGGCCGGGCACAGCACGACCAGGGATGCGAGAAATCAGGCATCCTGGACAGAGGCATCCCTCCACCTCAATGGACAGCATCGGCACTTGCCAGACCAAACCGGATTTTTAAAAACGGGAGGATGATTTCCCAAGAGCTTAGCAGAGACAAGGATCTAAGAAGGGAGGTCCCTCAGGACACCTATAGGATACTTTCTAGGTTGCTCCATCAGGCGTTTCACGCCGCCATTCCTTGCACGGACTCTGAATGAAGAAGGCTTCTAACTCAAGGAAGAGCTCTGGCGGGGGGGGGACAGGGCAAGCTTTTCTCCCCCCACAGCCCCCCCACCCCAAGGCAAAGCAGATATGCCAGCTTCACACAAGCCGTCTTCCTATTTTGAATCCACCCGAGGGAATTCCACCACGGAGGGACCGCATGGCCGCCATTCTGTAGTCAAAGCCCGGCCCCATTCTGCCCTCTTCAGATCTCACAGCTATGACACCAGCTGGACTCCTCCCCCTCCGGCTAAATACTGGAGGGGAGGGGATTACACCGCCCCTATTTAAGAGCAGAACCACGAACACCTGCTGGTTGGCAGGTCTTCACAAAAAACTACAGAAAAACTGCAGTCTATCTTCAAACCAGGTTTCTGGATAGAAGATGAATTGTAACGTACTCCAGAGATGGCCCCGATGGCCCAACAAAAAGTGAATCATGCCTTTGCGTTTGAACTCCCTAGGGGACATCACGCTGCATGCCAGCAGAAAGGTGGGGGTGGGCTTCCAACGAACGCGGCCTCTTAAAATAATCCGAACAAGCCATGTTGATACTGCATAAAACTGACATAAATTTGGTAAAACGAGTCCCGTTGTTCCAAATGCTGCTTCCAGGTTCAAGTATGGCTGAAATGTTAAATCAAAGGAAGTTGCAGAAGAACCTCGTGAAACCTCCGTCAGGCTTTCCCGATTCTGGTTGGCCCACTGGGCAGAATTGAGAAACAAGCCCACCATTCAGGTGGGCTAAAGGCAAACCCGAAAGGCTGCCCATCTCCCCCCTTTCTAGCTTCAGATGCTCCCGAGGGGGCATTGCCTTTCCAGCTGCACTTTGGCCAAGCCTTCGTTCTTCTTCTCCCAGCTCAACCAGCTTCTTCCCTTGACCTTCAAGACTATCTCCTACCATCTACCTACCATTCCAGTGACCAGAGAGAAATCCCTTATTCTTAAAACTCTTCCTCTGCATAAATGATTAAACTCTTTGAGCTGCCCGCTCTTAGACTTCAAAGGCTTACAGAGGCCAGAATTAAAGAGGCCAGAAACTAAGAAAACCGTTCTAAGTGGCCCTCAGCTGTGGTGAAGGGAGGGGGCAGGAGGGGGGGGAGACCTTTGCAATAATAATGTCCCTGCAAGCGACGTCCCTCCTGGAGTTCCCCTGCAGCCCTGCCTGATGAACCATCTCAGATCCTCCTTCAGTAACGGTGCCGCAAAGCAGGGAAGGAGGAGGAGGAGGAGGCCTAATTATTGTTTGGACTTGCTTCAACGGGAATGAGATTCCCCAAAAGCTCCGCCGTCTTCCGACATCCACCAACCTCACTCTTTAGCAAAGGCCGCTTGGTCATCCATCCTGCAAGGGAACCCTTGGAGGTCTTGGAATTAGCTACCTCAGCCTGAAGCCCCCCGAGTTCAAAGTCTTGGGATTTAACCATTTTGAAGAGCATTGGAAGCCGATGTCACTCATTCAACTTCAACGCCAGGGAAGCTAAATCACACTGCGCCACTGAGATTGTAAGCTTTTTTTGGGGGGGGGTCGCCCTTTTTTACGTGTCCGTCTTAAAAGGCAACCCCTTTATGTGACTAACGCACGCACATACACTCAGGGGGCTGGCTGTTCTCAAGGGAAGGAAGGTTTATTATTTGTGCAATCTTGAGCAGCAGAAGAAAGAGGGGGAAATCATCCTACGGGGTCTTCATGGTGCCTCAGAAGGAGGGCCGCCCAAAAGGACGAAGGCTACTTGCAGTCAGCTACCAAAAGGGGGGGCGGGGGGGGAGAAACGGCCAAACTGGCAGGGCCTATTTTTAACAAGAGCACCGAGAAAGCCGACCGAGTGAGGTCCCTGCCATGAAATCGGCCTGGTGAAGAAGATTCCCCCCTCTTGGTCCTTTCTCAGGGCAGGCAAATCAAAAGCCCCTTTCCTGCCAAAGTGCTGGAAGCCGTGAGTCACCGCATCCTTCCACAATCCTTCCTACGACAGAGAGCCCTGCGCCGCTCTGGCCTCCGGCCTTCCTACTTTGGCCAAGCGTAGCACATGGGACATGGGAGGCTGGCTACAAGGAGTCCTACGTGGGGGGAATGTCGTTCTGCTCGAGGTGACACACAACGTACAAGCTGGCTTTATTCTAGGATCTATTTGGTCTACGTCTCCCCGTCACGGAATCCTTTAGGAAATGTTTGTCATGGGCTTGGACTTCGTCAGGCGGCTCCACTCGCCGGTGGCATAGTTCATCTCAAAGATCGTGTCCACCAGCATGGTGGTGCTTCCGGTCCCATCGGCGTTCGGCAGGACCTCCGTGTGCTCACTTAGCTTGATCTGGATGACGTCGCCCTGCTCTTGACAGGGGTTTTCTGGGGAGGAGAAATCAGAGGTTCCAAAATCAGATCCCTCGGAGGAACCGAGTGACGCCAGAAACACCATTTAGGAGAAGAGCTAAATCCTAGGGAAGAAGATCCTTCCCTGCTGGGGGAACCAGCATCCTTCGGCTGCTCCATGTTCCTTCCTGCGAGGGCAGCCGTGGAGGACAAATCGCTCTTCGATGAAAGCAGCCTGACCTTCCCAACTACTTTGCTTAAGCCAGTGTTTTTCAACCTTGGCAACTGGAAGATGTCTGGACTTCAACTCCCAGAATTCCCCAGCCAGCATTCGCTGGCTGGGGAATTCTGGGAGTTGAAGTCCAGACATCTTCCAGTTGCCAAGGTTGAAAAACACTGGCTTAAGCTAAGTGTGCACATCGGTCATTACGTGGCCTCTGTAGACACCACACACTGAGTGAAAGGAAGCCTTCTTAACTGCTACGTTCTGATCCTTCGGCTGAAAAATTCTGGGAACTAAACTGTTTCCTCAGCAATATTTGTTTAGTGGAACTCCAGGAGAAGACAGGTTGACTGCTTGCTTTTCAATAGAAGGCGGCCTTGCCTTAAAAAGGACCAAAATGCTCTATAATAAATTGATTTATAAAACAACTACACTTTTTCCTATCTAGACCTTTATCTAAATGTTATACAAAAAGACCGCTAAATATTATTTTAGATTATCCTTACTCCAAATCAATCAAATTACTTAGCAGCTACTGGGCAGTGCCTGGGCTTCAGAGTTTAGTGACCTGTTTAGCGACAGGCAGCCATTGGCACCACAAAACATGGTTTCCACAGCACACTGAGAGGCAGCACATAAGAGGCACCGAAGGCGAGGAGAACCCAAAAAATTATCGGTATCAGAAGACGAACTGCTGGGCCACACGATGGCCACACTCCTGCTCTCAACAACCTCAGCCATGAAGTCTGCCTGCCACTGAGATACACAAACATCCTATCAAAGTCAAGCCTGAGGCTCAGTATAAGCCTATACTGCCCAAAAGCAGGCTCAACCACCAATCTCCCCCTCCCCACCCCCCACCCCACCAGAAGAACCCAGTGACAACTCAAGACGCTCAGATAGAGACCCCACCGGAACCCCAAAGGCATCAAGGCAACAAATCAGAGACCAGCACTCCAAAAATGACCCACATTTTGCCTCTTCCAGGATTCGCTTAGCCACCCTTTGGGGAGGAACGTTACCCATGTACCCACCTCTGGATCCCGCCATGAATCCCAGGATGAGCATCTTCTCGGGCCTTGTAACTTTGTTCGCCATCTGGAAGATTTCATGGGCTGCACACAGCTGCTCCTTCTGCAATGAGTTTCAAGAACATCTTCCATTGAAAACAGGAGGAGGAGAACCCGTTTGCACAGGGATCCCACCGTCTTCACCGTTTCTCTCTCGTGCCCCCCTCCCCCTGCCCACTTTTTTCCTGTGAATTAATACTTAATACTTCTCGTCTCCTGGAGGCACATTTGAGGACCCTGGACAACTAGCGATGTAGCAACATCAGATAATAAAAGGCACCAACATTTAAATGAGGTTTGTTATTCATAAGCCTTAACTCTGTTATACAGGGCGGGGCATAACCTTTTCCTAGGGGGTCACAGCAAGATCGACAGCAGTTTACAACTTCCGCGATACCTCATTTTAAAGCCCATAAAAAACTGAATTGAATGAGCTATTAAATGTTAAATTTGTTTCGGTTGAAACTTTGAGAATGAATTTGGAAACT